GATCATTGTTACACCATCTTGAATTTTGTTTGGCGACCGACCGTGTGACGTTATGTCATCATCGAACAGCAACTTTTGACTTTACAGTTATCGTTTTTTACTTTTCATGCCACTTCTTCCTCTTCTTTATTCTTCCTATTTTTTCGTTGTCCGATATTCTGGCCAGGAAGGTCAAAAAATCACTAATTGTGATTTGGGCAATCTTTTGACTCTACAGATGTTCTCCGTTAGTGCTTCCATAATGGAAAGACCAATCCATACCAATTCATATCATTCCTTATCATTCCTTTTTTGACTATGCCTCTCAGTATCTGCCCACTGATGCAAAAGTGAAGGCATAGTCTTTGAGTAGAGCTGAGCACTGCATTGTTTTTTCCGTTTTATTCAAATCCCTGAAAATCATCCGCCTAAGAATCTCAAAAGTATCTAAAGACGTATATTCCTTACGGAGGTTATGAATGATCGATGTGGATGGCTTCACATCAAATCTCGCCAGCAGAGCATTTTGTTCTTATATCATTTCTCTCCAAATCTTGCATTTTGTCTTGATGTCAATTTCTCCCATCGTTCGTGCGGGATTGTCTTTGATGAATATGTTTTGCTAAGCACCATTTTCCTTTTTCTTCTCCTTTCAAAGAAACTGGAACGAAGACGTGAAACATGACCTGTGGAGAATTATTTACAATGGCATAATGACCTGCAGTTATGGTGATGAGTATCAGATTCTATCGTTGCTTTCTATTCACTTCCATATAGTGTCAGTGTTTGGGAATCATGCTTATCGCATATATATTTTATATGTATTGCTTCGGTTCTAGATGCGCTTAGCGTTGTCGTTTGAAGTGTCATGTGGTGCACATAGTCTCTAGTTGGATCTTGCACACAGAAATAACCAACTCCTCGATCATTTGGGCTGTTTAGTTTCGAAGTTGTCTGACAGGATAAAGATACTGCTAGATACATTGCCAAGCCCTCGAACGTCTTTGTATGTGCCAAATATCCCCTTAGTTATGTCCAGTATGCTGCGAATGGTGTAGAATGCTAGCCGTACCGCTAAAAAAATTAATCAGTACCGAGCACCATATCCTACATGCTCTATTCTCTATGGACAAGTCGACTAAATAAACATCTAATAGAAAATAATGTTCTCTACTAAATAATGCAACTTTATTCTTTAAGTGTTCTGATGGTGCTGAGTGCCCTACATTCATATCCCATCCTAGCCAGCGGGCACGCCAGCAAATACGGCAACTATAACCATCAGATACACCACCGGGCATAATACCAGAGAAGACGCATTGCTTAGGGGCGAGATCTTGCGACTGTGGCGTGATTCCGCGACCCAAGCCACTCGTTCGGATCCAACCACGCCTCCTAGCACGGCCATTTGCCTTCTGACGACGCCTTGGAGCTCGCCGTTGCCCTTCTCCTTCATTTTGTTTTCGCACTTAATATTCCTCCAAAACTCCCTTGATTAGCGTGTGCAAAATTGCTGTTAACCAAAATCTTGAGCTCTTGCATTATCAGCAAATTAAGGTTATCAGCGATTCGGATCTAATACGTCTTGTTGAGGTAATAATTATCCTAAATACTCGCAGTGTTCACAGACACTTTACTCAGTACATTCTCATCCTCGTTGCTAAAGCAATCCTGCAATCGCTGTTATGAACTAAAGTCTTAAGTTTTTGCATTACCAACAAATCAAGGTTATCAGCGATTCACATTTAATGCGTGTTGTCGAGGTAACAATTATCCTAAATACTCGCAGTGTTCACAGGTACTCTATTAATCGCTATCACATTCTTGCACTGTGAGCACGTAAATCCTAACCTTGTTGTCATAGCAATACAATATTTCATAACTATATCCCATGCGCTCATCAACCTGCTGAATAACATTATGTGTCATTGTTAATGCAACTTGTTAGCCGTTCTACTACTGACCACTGGAACATCTTACTTGCAACTTATTGCACATATATTTCCAAACTTATTTGCGTTGTTGTGAATAATATGTACATATAAAGGTTTAATCACCCATGTTTGAGGGGTCTAGAATTGTGAGTGCCAATCACGAAAAGCCCCGCGTGGCACGAGCAAAGGCGAGCGGCTAATCCGACCGAGTGTTCTTTTCTACTTGGTATTCATATAACAGCGAGTCGTCCCAACATTCTCCTTTATTTCTCATGATCCTTCTCCATGAGAGCCTGTGTGCTTTAATGGTGACGTCGTTTACGAGTATCAGCAGATGTAATCTATGGAATTTCCTCCAGTTACGAAAACAGCCGAATGACGCGGGCACCGCATGATAGGCCCTTGCATCTTGCATGCGATAATCCTAAAAGAAGCATAAAGATAAAGAAGATCGATCGCGCCCAAACGTGATGTTTGCAGATAGAGTTGGTTATTTCGGTGGAAAGGTTCTATTTATCAAAAAAGCTTCATCAATCATTCCGGTTGGCTAAGCTGCATTTCCCAACAACACCAGATGACCAAGTATTTCTCTTGTTTTTGATCTCAAGTAGTTTAATACCCTATAAACGCAGAGATTTTTCTTAGTTCCAAATCCTGCAAAAGTGCTGTTTATACGAAAATAAAAATGCAAGCTTAACTCTTTTATTTACTGCCTTTTTCTTCTTAATGGCAGGTTATGTTGCGAAATATAACTCGTATGAAATGCTGAGATATTTGCAAAACTCCCGGATGGACCCGGATGGTGTAGTGGTGAAGTGCGCTGCTCCCCGGTAAGGACAATAGCGCGTGTTCGTTCTCCATTGCAAACACCTGTGGTCTGGAGTTTTGCAAATATCTCAGCATTTCATACGAGTTAAAAATGCAAGCTTGAACTGATATTATTCTTTTTGTTAAATCTGCCGCTGCAATACTCAGACATCATTTTCTCCATTGTTGCGTCGTCCAAAAGCATCGCAGTAAATCAGCTATTGATTTTTCAGTTATGAGATTATCGATTATCATTGTACTTACACATTATGTTATGTTTTCACTGGCTTGCCAATGTGCACTACAAACCAGTCAAGGGTCATTCTGCGCTGCTGACTGGGGTGAGTAATGGCTTCGCTCTTTACGGAATTCCTAAATTTCTCTTTCTTGTGACAGACAAATTGAGGGAATCGATAAGCATCTCAAAAAGGACCGGAATTTGTATTTATTGTTTTGTATTTTTTTGTATTGTATTTTAAACGGATACTTTACTTGAGGTCGCAACAGTACCTACAGTAGAGTTTCAATCCAAAACAGTTAAACTTATAACGAACAATGGGACCTTTAAAACCTTTTCATTCATTAATTTCTACTTGAATAGTAATTCAAATAAAAATGGATAATTTGGGCTCCCGAGCCTTTTTTCAGCTTCCTCCAAAGCTATGAATTTTTGTAGTACTGCCATATTCTCTTCATTTTCTTCTAGAGTTAGACCATGCTATCACTTTGATATGCGCAATAAACCTAAAACATAAAGAATAGACTGGAGAACGAAAATTACCGAATGTTTTAAATGTATTAATTGAAATAATTATAGTGTCACGTTTGAAAGTGAGGATACGTGTATCTAAGCAACCGATGCCATCTGGTTCACTTCGAAAAGGTCTAAATAATATTCGTTACACAGTGAAGCATCTAAAAATCTATAAGGTAAGGAGCAAAGCATGTTACTTAGTTGACATAACAACTCAATAAATAAAGTGACAATTCTTGCTTGCATTGCGGTTCGTTTGTTCTCTACTCTAACGTAATTTTGTTCCACTCAATAACTGATATGCATTCAGGCTTATGTATGTGTATATATGTGAAATCATTTGATATTTTTATGTTTCTTAATTTTGATATATATATATATATATATATATATATATATACGAGACGGAGGTGGTACAGTGGTTAATGACGTCGTCGATTAGGAACAAAAGAGCTGGCTCTACTAGCCCTCTCATCTCCAAGGTTACAAGGAGAATTGACTCGACTATCATTTTACGACATTCATGAAGAAGACGAAATCCTCAAGCAGCACAACATGCGGAATGTTTGAAGACCATTGTTGACGATGAATGAGAGGAGAACTCATCAAATGCAGGAAGTGCTGCGATCGGCACAGTAGATGTGATGTCGAGTGATGAAGAATATATATATATATGCAGATTTATTCACAAGTGGATCCTTTCTCAAGTGAAATAAGCTTTCCTTGTTTACCTTTTATTAACCGCCTATTATTTCTTTAACAGCAGGAGATTATGTGAAATGCAACCACATTCTCAGCTCAAATAACGGTTATTGTTATATAATAAATAGAAGCTGGAAAACAAAAAGGTTTCTCTATTAAAGGAGGACTTAGTACAACCACAGTGGTGCTAAGACATGACAAAAACGCAGAATCCCACCTAACCTTCGAACCCACGCTTGCTCTTTCCTGTGCTCACATAATGCTCCTAATCCACCACGCCAACTTAGGCCCTTTCTTTGCCTTTCTCTCATCCTACTGCCCTAAGGCTGTCATCAGTAGTAGTTAAGAGAAAGACAAGGGCCTCGGTAATGCAATGGTTAACACCTGACTTTTTCGAGGGGTTATCCGGGTTCGATCTGCAGGTTGGGTTCCTAGTTTTGGTCAAGTCTTAGTATCATTATGGTTGTATTAAGGACTCTTCTGCTACGGAAACCTCGCATTTCAGCTTTTTTTATCAAACAGCAATATGTGGTATATGAGTTTTCACATGTTATCGTATTATCAGTTTTAATGCTTAAAATAGAAGAGAAAACGTTCGATGTTGATTAATCGCTGAGGCACACGCCATGGATTAGTTTCCTTCGTACGAGCTCGTAAAGGTGATTGAATGCATATTAGCTCTGTACATTAACTTGCTGCTGTTTAAGGATGTAGTGCGTCAGTGGCTCTTATCCTCTTAGAGCAGCTCCGAATCGAGAGGTGTGGTTTGCTTTGAACAAATGATAAAAGGATAAAGCACTCGGCGTTGATCTATCACTGAGGGATGAGCCATGCATTTGACTTCATTAAGTATCCTTAGGGCCTGAATGCATGGCTGGCCTATACAATCGGTGGACTCGCGGTGGTCTACCGATGTATCGAGCTAGCTCTGCTATCCTCCCAGAAAAGTCTGATACCTATTTGCTGACCCCGGAAGGATGGATTGTTTAGAGGACCATGGGAGTGGAGATCGATTCCACGTGTGCGTTGCAGGGTGCCATCGACTACTACCACTTGAACAAGTGATGGAACCGAAAACGTATGTTTTACGAGGAGCTTCTAATAGCCATTGAGCTACACCCGTTTCGTTATGTTCAAGTTGTTATTATATAGTATACGCTTCTATTAAGTTACGTTTTTATGTATATGTATATATTATTTTCTTCGTTAATTGTCATACCGAGGTTAAAAGAAAGTCAGTTTGGAAATATATTACTTTGTTATTCTATTACTCTCTTCAGACCTATTATTGTTGTATCTATTTATTATTCGTTGGGATACGAGAGATAAAATATGGTATGTGAAGACAACAGATAAGAATATAACAGATGAGTGGTGCATGTAGCGCAGTTGTCGGAGGCACCCTGCAACACACATGGGATCGATCGCTGCGTCACAGGCCCACCAAGTCCTCCATCTCCTAAGGGTCGGCAAATTGGTACCAGACTTGTCCCAGAAGATAACAGCACTGGTTCGATACATCGGTAGGGAATCACGAGTCATTGTGAATGCCAGATATGCATTCAATCACCTCCAACGATGCTTAATGAAATCGAATGCATGGCGCATTACTCAGGGATAGATCAACGCCGGCGGCCTTATTCTTATCCATAGCTTTAATAGATGAATGAATGTGCTGTTCAGCAAAGGCGCACACTTGTCAGTATTTCAACTAAAATAGTTTTCTTGAAAACGACCGTCATTTAACTATGGTAGCAAAATAGTAATGAACATGAAGACTAATGTCTATTAAATTAAAACTATTCCGTTGGCTGACTTTATGTTAACCTCGGTATTGATCAAACAGTTCTCGATATTCTTGTTGAACCAGTTCTTGTTTGCTCAAGAGCAATATCGAGAACTATCAAGAAAGTTTCAGATTTTTTCAATGATTTTGAGATAGTAATTCTTTCAGTTGAGTAGTCATAAAATACGATACTCATAAAGAACTTGTAAAATACATTTATACTTACTTTAATTAAATGAAAAAAACTTCAACACAGAAGCCGTCGAATATGACGGCGACGTTACCGACCGACATCTACACACCATCTGAACCTGCTGCTTGTGGACTTATCATTGAAGCTGGACGGGAATATCTACTCGCAGGTAAGATACGTATCGATCGAAAATGATTACTCATTGCTATCATCGATTATATCTACTTTTCTTTGCCGTCGATTTTGTGAACCTTCGATCGACATCTCGATCAGTCCCCACTATTTGCAAAGTGTTTAGTGTTAACGATAACGGCAATTTTCTCTTTATATTTAATCGCTTTTGTAAGCAAACCATTATTGGCTGTGGTGAACGAAATTCCATATCTTTTAGATGACTTTATTAAGACTTTTAAATGAATCAAAATGAACTCGTTTTTCTAAAAAAACTTCTGGTTCAATGTAACCTCGTTGATCCGATCATTTTCGCGGACATCGGCATTGAACCCAGTTAAGCTGAGACTATAGTTATAATCACAATCTTAACCTTTTTATTTACTGCCTATTCTTTTTTAACGGTAAGATATGCTGCAAAATATAACCTTCATAGTGATGAGATATTTGCAAAACCCTGGACCGCAGGTGTCTGCGGTGGGGAAAGAACGCACTATTGTGATTATAACTGTAGCCTCAGCTTAACTGGGTTCAATACCGATTTGGGCTCCCCAGATCAATCCCAGTGACGGGTGAATGCTGATGGCAAAAGAACGTTAGAACTAACAGAGATACAGGCGAAACGAAGGACCCGCATGGTGTGGGGGTGAACGCGGACACGGAAAGGACAATAGCGCTTTCGTTTCCCACCGCAAACGCCTGCGGTCCGGAGTTGTTCAAACATCTCAGCATTATACAAGTTATATTTCGCAACATTCCCTGAAGTTAAAAAATAATAGGCAGTAAATGAAAAGGTTAAGAAGTAAATTTTGTCGTTTTAGGCAAAATGTATAACTATGATAACAAAAAGTAGACCAGAGAATGGACTTCAATTCTAAATGGAATCGTCCTAGGTTCTAGCTTGTTCTGCCTTTGCATTCCCACATTTGATCGATTTCCATCAGATCGTAAGCTGTCAACTGATCACTAGTGACATTTTTTTATACCTGTAACTGACCAGAATTATTTCGGATATGCTTGATTTTCAGGAAGAATCCATAACGACACGTTATATACAGTGCTATGTGGACAGGTGCTGATCGATAATCCGTCAGAAGAAATGTACGAAAACGTACTCGAATGGCGTAAAGTACCGAAACAATTGCAAGAAAAGCTTGAAACGTTTAAATGTTGAGTTGTTGAGTGTCCATTTCATAAGGAAAAAATCTATTCTACATTTCTAATGTGTTCGCTTAGAAATCGTTCTCTTATTCATCACCATCATCAAAGAATTGTCCCTTTGGAATCCGGAGAGTTGAGATTATGTCAGCTGACCTCCGTGTGATTCAAGAGAACTCAGTGAACTGCTCATTGTCTTTTTAACATGTTTCTTTCTTCTCTTCGCTTTTTTGCTTTCTCTTCATTTGCAAATCAACATCGAAGAAAAAGTAAGTGTATGCCATCTGTGAGATGTGACTACACATTCAAGGACGCTGTAATCACTTGAGAATTGAACTAATGACGAGTTTTTTCTTCTTTTAACAGGATTGTTGCAAGACAAATCTATGGTGACATAAGCTATGTTTGGAAAGATGAATAGGAAGAAAAATCACCTGTAGCATTTCCAATCCAGCTTGATATTGAGCAAGACCAGTGAACTCTTCCGTTGTCGTCACCGTGAGAGCTGCACAAATATTTCCACCCGTTTAAGCGACTCGAATAGCATCACATTTTTGTTAAGATTTCTTTTCTTAAAACTGTTTTAATGAAAAAATATCCAGTGAGCTTTCCGGACTTCACCGTGGGATAGGCTTACACTTCGCTGTGCCACCTTGTGGTAACGGCGAACTCTTCAGCTCTTGTGGCGTGCTGCGAGATCGGCCACCGTTAAGGATGACTACTCTTGGCCAATATATAGCCTTTCAGCCAGGATAAGCAATAAAAAACAGGGAAAGAAAACAAAACCTGGTAAAAAAGTGTAAAATTTCCTGAGATTTTTGCACTTGGTTGGTTTCTGTTTGGTTTTATTCTATTGGTTGAACCGTATATTCTAAAGGGAAAACAGCGCTACATACGAAGAGCTGTTTCTGCTTAACGCAGAGCATCTAAAATGACACGTTGGAAAAGAATTCATTTCTTAAGAAATTTAATAGGATAGAAATTTATGTTCTACAGGACAATTATTCAAATAAACAAATCACTTTTCTTAACATCGTTGCATTTGAAATCAAGAAACGTGAGCGAAAACAGACAAATCTACGAAAAGCAGATAGCAGTATAGAAAATATCCCATAAAGGCTGATCGGTGTTTTCTTTAGGTCTTTTGAAGTTTGTTTTTAAACTGTGGCACGACTATTCCACATACTTGTTATAACAAACAACGACATTACGAGAAAAAACCTAGAAACCTACTTCAGTAATAGTTGTTCTTTTTGAGACATAGTGAAGTATAATTTTCGCTTTTGCAGTCGATGTAGCGATTTCTTTTGTACCTATCTTGAAGGCATGAGTTCATGAAAGCGTGTGCTACCTACCAAGCTTCCCCAGCAAGGGTAATTGCGGGTTCAAAGCCCACCTAAAGTTTTAAACTTTGCTAATATCTCAAAATCAAAATTACCTTCCATGAAAAAAAAAAATAGGCAGCTACTAAAAGCTAAGAGAATGTGGCACACTTTATTGATATGTTTAATATTTCAAAAACCGAGCTTTCTGTAATTTTAGTGTGAGTAACCAATATGTATAATTTAATTGATATGCTAATACGACATTAATAAGGAACAATATTAGGCCACGTTTCGACATTTTCGTATTCAATAGAGCCGAAGACCTCAAAGATCTCCACAGCCGCTTGTTCTCTCGATGTGCTGCATTCGTGTTCGTATCAAGTCGGATCTTCTTCAGTAGAGCACGGTTTGAACGAGACGATTTCACCTCAACTGAAGAAGATTCGCCTCGAAACGAAAAAGAATATGCCTTTGACTCTGCCAGGCTCTGAAGGAGGCGAAATCGCCGAAACAGCAGCTATTCTCCATTAATATGGTTTAGTAACAACCTCGTGTTCGCTTATTAAGAAAAACGTTGAGAGGCTGAAACAATCCTTTTCTTTCATTCTTCTTCCATGTCGGAATATTTCTCTATTTGAAAAAGTAAAATCTTCAATAACAGTAAAATTTTAATTAGTAAACGAATGAAAAAAGAAAGCTGTAGAGCCGGAAACACGTTAAATACGTTGCAGCGGTACGTCAATCTTTCGCCTGACAACGGAAATTTTCTTCATATTGTCTAATATGCGTTAGAAAAGCGAATCATGGGTATTCTGTCAGACTACTAGGTTCTACTGCGTAAAGATGGGGTTTCTTTGTTGAGCACAAATGTTCTCGCGTTTGCATAATTCCTTACTTGACTAGAGACCTTATCCTGACGTGTCAACCGAAATTGGAATGCCAGGAGCTTAAAGGAAACTTGGCTAACAAATTCCACATAAATTCGATGTCGAATGCATTCTGTGTGAACTCAGAGAACAAGGTGGCTATCTCATAATTTTTTCTCCACTTTTTTTACCTAACAATAAACGACCTTTTTTGCTTGTTTTGAGCCTGTTGCAACGCAACAAATACCAGGCATATTGTTCAACTAAGTGGGCGTTTGGCGCAGTGGTCGGGGACGCCCTACAACACACGTGGAATCGATCACCGCGCGCATGGCCCACCAAGCCTTCCATCCCTCCGGGGTCGGAAAATTGGGACCAGACCTCTGGGAGAGTAGTAGCACCAGTTCGATGAATCGGTAGGCCGCCACGAGTCATTGCAAAGGCCAGATATATGCATTCAATCACCTCCAAAAGATGCTTGATGAGGTCGAATGCATGGCGCATCCATCAAGGTTTGATCAATGTCGAGAGTTTATCCTTTATCCTTTTACTGTTTAACTACAAAGCTGAGCCCAATCGGGAAAAAATGTTGTAACTACAATAGATTTGACGGTTAAGGTTAAATGCCAGCTTTGGATTCCATAGTAACGTGACGTTTTTTGAATTCAAAATATTTGCTGTCGCTTGTTGATCGCTGCAATAAGTCCATTTTTGTTCACGATTTCTCATCATCTACGCTCACTACTCCGATCTCGCCGACATGCACGCTTTCCTGGTCTCATATAAAATAAAGGAGAACGGTTTTTCAACCCGGCCATTTCTCAGCTGACAAGCCATCTCGCCGATAAAGAGTATTTCAACACACATTCTGGAGAGGATGCGGGCCTAACAACTGAGGTGGTTTCCACCAGTAGTCATCGGCACGTAAAGAAAGACCAACGATGCCGTATTGCTACAAGAAAAGGATAGGTCTACGACACTGGCAACTTCCGCCATATCTGCTCACTGTTTGTAGTCGTGCAAACTCTTACCTCCATCATCCTCCATAGGATCAACTGAACGCCGGATGTAGAAAATCCGTACCAGTAATCAGCTTCTCCTGAGATAGACTGCATGTATATAATAAAAAACCTACTGAGGCGCGAAAATACAAGTGACCGCTCTGCCTTACTCTCATGGATTTAAGGAAAAGTTAGTTAAACAGGAGCTGCCATAGAAGCTGACAGCCAAGGCATTCCTGCTCAGTATATAAAGAACCTTGATCAGTTATGTAAAATTGTCACGAAAAAAATATCACCATTCGACGTAGACATTGAGATACCACTGACAAAGCAAGTTTTCGTTAACATCAACCCGGACCATCGGCTTTAGTGAAGAGAAAGACGTTGAAACGTTAGCCGAATTAAACATCTTTGTGAAGCTGATGTAAGCTCAACAATTTAAAAGCCATTAATAGAGTTTCGAAAGCGAGCAATAAAGATATTACTGATATCCTCCTTCGCCACAGGTTATCGATGAACAACGGGAGTGAAAGTAGCACATTTTCAAATGCATTGAAAATGATACCTTTCTTCTATCATGTATGAAGTGGAGGAAGAAATAACTTACATGGCCTATTTTGAAGTCGTTCTGTTTCTCCTGAAACATGCTCAAAACTTGTTTACTAGACCTCAGGCAAATATTGGAAAAAAGACAACTGCCATTCGCATATTGGCACTACTAACTATTATCAATATTACTACAAAAGTGCATTTTCTTTGTTTCTGGTTAGCAGCTGCAGAATTGCGATTAAAACATGCTGTGTTCACTGATAACTGTCTACGAACTACTCACATGATTCACTCTAACAATGCACGGACTCAAAAACACCTTTTATTCGCTCTTCCTAGTCGTTAGAAGTAGCTTCAAGAAAACTATTGTTAGGAAGTGACAAAACAGCTGGTGCCTTGTTATAGTGAGTTTAAACACCTAACATCCTTAACAGACGACCCAGATACGTCGATCTACGTCTTTGAGAAGAACAGGCGAGATCCTAGCATAAACTCTACGTAGATAATGCAGTGAATCGGATCTCCAATAATATGAGAGTGTGTCCGGCGGCGAACGATAATTGCAAACACCTCCTGCTGGGTAGTTGCGATGGCTTCCAGACGCGTCTAATCGAGTTCCAAGGAGATTTGCAAGGAACTTTCCTCCGAATTTCGCAGCAAACAAATGTGAGAAGTGGTAAGGCTTACAAACGACTGCTGACTTCCTAAAAATGTTTGTTGTGTTAAGCAACTTAATAGAATACTGTTCGTGTATCGAGCCGACTTGATGGGAGGTTCTACGCGAAGCCCTGGAAGTATAGGACGGCGACAAGGCTAACAAAGGGTAGACATAAGATTCATAAAATTTTGCAACTCTTTGCACCAAAACGTTTGACGAGAGAAGATGGACAAGGGTAGTGACAGACCCTTCTAATTCAGTGTCTGTTCGTGTTCATGGTTGCTGGTGAGAACGCTTTGCATACAATCCTCTCACAAAATAATTTCACACCCCTTTTGCAGCGATAAAAAGTATAATATCAGATTTCAGTCTGTAGATCTTCTTCAACAGCTCATACAGAAGCAGTGCGATAAATCCACCAGAAACATGCTACATGACAATAAGGAGAGATATTCTTGGGGCCAATCTCAGATGGATTGCGGTGTAGACGAGACATGACATAAACAATAGCTTGACCAACGGTGATTACCGTGCCAACGATTTTCTGCGCTCAATTAAAAAGAGCTCTGTCTTTAGTGTGCCACCGAATTCAACTGTCTTAGCTGCACCGAGAAGTT